TTTTTTTTTTCATTTTCTATTAAGAAGCATTTATATATGTACTTTTTTATTTAATTTTTTATATTTTAAAAATCGTTTTATATTTTATTACTTTATTTTTATTTTATTTAGTTATATGCAATTTCAATTTATCATTTATTAATATTCAGTTCTATAAAAAAAAATCTTTGTTAAGAGAACAAAATATATTAAATTATAAATTAAATATATATAGTACATACATACATTTATGTTTAAGTTTCAGTATAATATAATATTGATAAAGTATGTCAGCTAAAAAATAGTATGTCTAAAATATAAAACTTAATAAAATACTGTATTCTGTGTTTAATTTCAATAATAATTTTTTAAATATTTAATAAATGAAGTACTCATATTTTTGTACGTAAGAAAAAAATACAAACATTAAGAAAAACAAAAACTATTTAACATTTTAAATAAATAATTAAAACTATATATCTTAAACATTTCAAAATATTTGTTTTAAAATAAAAAATTGATTGTACTCCTCTTCAAATCAAATCTATTGCATCTATCGGATCTATTACAGACAAATACGGAGGCGAGTGCGTTATATGGTACATCACTTTGCATTGTCATAAATCGTGAATAAAATATATAAAATGATGGGTCTAATTAACAATATATCTAGTAAGAAATTTCTTTCAGTTTTTCACTTAATTCAATTGTCCTGTCTGAAGCAATTTTATCACTAACGATTGTAATCCCTTGAATGATCTATTTTATCATGAGTTGAATTTATTTAGGGGTCTTTGAGTTATGCTATTGATTTTATAAATGTTTATTCTTTAGCCTAACATATATTCTGACAAACATTTATAACATATAACATAGATAGAAGAGCACTTGTTTCAAAAGTGTGTAATTCGGTGTTAGCATGAGAGTCCTCAGAATCAAACTATTTTACGACTTTGTCCCTGACATATCTTAGTAATTTCAATCTAAGTCTTATAATAATTTAGTGGCGTATCGATAGAGTTCATATATTTTGTATAAAAAAAAGATTTCTTATATCACACCTTTAAATATATCCAAATATCGGTGATGACGAATTTCTAACAATATTCGAAGCAGCTGTAGGTCACGAATTTATACATTTACATAAATAATATGAAATGTTTTAATTCAAGATTTAAATTTAAGATGAAAGATTCCCAATCATTTCAAAGTTATATTCTAATCAAAGTTGGAGGTTTCTTAAGGTGTACTTAACAATATTTTTAAGAAACTGTAACAGTAAAAATTTTTTCTTTTACTTTTTTTTTAATTTGGAGTAAAAAATATTTCTATTATAACAAGTTGTCTATGAACTTGATAAATTGATATTCAGATATCTGAGTTGGTGAATCAGCACCTTTACTCTATTTTATCTGTGGACAGTTTTAAGTCACACTAAGAATAACTGAATACGGGGCTTTATAATATGATGGAACTGATGTCTTTGTATCTGCCTGTGTTTATCAAATTTCGTTGTATTTTAAGGATGCTGAGAGTTGGATTATTGTGACTGTCAATTATATTGTCTATGAAAAGCTACTATTTAAGGTACCTATGAATTTAAAACTTCAGTTTTTCAGACTGAAGTTTTAAAGATAAGAAACGTATTTCAAGCCACATTAAGCATAACTGTAAAGTTTTTCGTTGATAGCCTAGCAGCTCTTCATTCTTTTATTATAAAATCAAAACTAGTAACGAGGTGTACGCCAGAAATCGGCAGACGAAATCATCAAGCAGACATCATTCTCATACAGGTTCCTGGTCATGGGGACATTAAAAAAGCAGCCTGGCATGATCTTTTTATAGTTGTCTCTATAGATATACTGACATATGTTATCAAAAAAATCTTTAAAAAAGGCACTTGTATCAATTTCCTGCAGCTACCTATAATTAGGTGGAAGTCATTTACCACATGTAAAGGAAAGGAAGGAAACAGTCAGATTTCCAGTCAGTGGTTGAACTCAATAGACTAGAGCTGCAACACTGGGAGTTCTGACACCATCATCGCTTCAAAACCATTTTTGTGGCTGTAAGTACACAGCCTACAGTATATTGACAGCATATCGTTTACTGTTGAAACTTACTTAACAGTGCACCTATTCCATACTATGACGCTAATTGTAGTTCATTAAGGTCACTGGTATGTGAGATCTCAGGTGAGAATCTGCACTTTCCATTCAAAATTCATTGTAGAAGTTGCAGAAACTTTAACTGAGACATAATCACAAAAGAAATCGGTTTTTAGAAAAGTTCCTTCTGAATAGTTTGTCAGACTACTTATTAATAAGAATGAAAGATTTGTTTAAGTACAGAAACTCAAATGGATCAAATGGATTTACCTACGGAAATAAGGATAAATTAAACTTTTATGTATATTAAATAAATAAAAAATATCATTTAATTTTTATATATAAATATTTATGTTTTTATTATAAAATTTTTAAATTCATGATATGAAATTTCGAAATTGAATACAGTTCGTTTTGTGGAACCGTGAACTGCCTATTGCTTATTTCCAGCACGATTGGCCATTCCATCATTATGTTCTTGATTTACACTACTTCCAGTATTTTTTGAACCCAATTCAGTTGAAGCGTCTTTGTTGTCAGCTGTATTATCATTGGATGGGGCAACTGAAACGACATTATTATCTCGATCGAACAGATAACTGCCACCTAAAGGACGGGGCGGGCGGCCGCCGTAGGCAGAGCTAAAAGTGGAGAAAGTAAAACAAACCTTTTCTTAATGTTTTTATCAATTCTTTTCTTTAAAAATGTGTATTTATTTTAATAGAAGAATTAGAAAATTTAAAATAAAAGAAGATTCTTATGAGAAAAGGTTATAATTAATTGTGAGCAAAAAGATTCAAGAAATTATTGCAAAGAATTTTGATTGTTTATTATAATATATTATTTACTCTGAATTCTGAAGAAAAGAAAAATATGCGGATACAACCCAAAATATAATTCCATATTATATGTTATATACATATATCCAAATTGATAAAATTATTATTTTAAATAGATTTATTTATAATATAGGCGTTTAAATTTTGATCTAGCTTGCTCTCTTCTTTCTGTTTTGTAAGAACTTGTAATCAGAATCTTCAGTACCATTCGTAAAAAGTTCATCTGGATATATACGTTCAACATAGCTCAGATTCTCAATTTCGTTACATAGTTGAATTATCTCCATTTTCACCTTGGGTCAAATATTCTTAGTAAGACCATCCTCTTGAATATTAGCATCTTGCCCTTAAAAATATCTGTTATTTGTATAATTTCGAGCTGTAACACATAGTGGGCACTTTTGTGTTATTAGTTTGGACTAAGTACCAAAAACTATAGCTAGAGAATAGCTTGAATTCGTTACTTTATGATATTTTTTATTTTATTACTCCAAGGTATCAGAAGTTGAAATATCTGGTCACCAAAGTAAAGATTTTGAGTGATTGGTCTCATGCTTATAGAGCAAAGTATCAATTATTTCATTTTAACCTTATTTATTGTGAAGACATTATTATTATAACTATATAACATATTATTATAACTATAATAATAATAATTATAATAATATAATAATAAAATTATTAAAATAATTATTATACTTATAATAATATGTTATACAATTATATCATATATACATATATCATAATTATAATCATATATTCTGTTTTATGGATTTCATCTGCTTTTAGTTTTTTATATTACATTATATAATTTTATATATATTATTATTTATCTAGTAATAATAAGTATTTTTAAATGTTTTTTTTTAATTTATATTATAATATTTTGTTTGTTATTGTTGTATAATTACTGAATATTATAATATATTTTTCGAATTACTTCTATTTAGTGTTCTTGCTTTTACTTACAAACCAATTACGACTCACCTCTGTTGATCTCTCTCTCTATCCCTATCACTTCTGGTATTTTTATCATTTTCGTTCATATAGGTCCAACCATTTTGGTTTGGACTAGAATTAGTAGGCCCATTATTGTTACTATTATTACTATTATTATTTATAGGTAAGTAACCATTATTGGTTTGACTATTACTGTTTATAGGTTGTGAAGACACTTTCGTTGGATTTGTGTCATCATAAGGACAATTCGTTACTCGTACTCCACAGCGAGTGCTTTGTCCCTCTTCCGGTAAGTAACGTCTATCTTTATTATCTGTTGCAAAATAATATCCGCGGCCTGACTTATCGAATCCAGATTGACCTCTTATAATAGATTAACACATACGAACATAAAAAGTGTGTGTATTTGTAAATGTAGTTTTATGGAGGTGCGT